GTGCAGGTTTACTTCACTGAAAGGTAAAATTGTTTATACCGCTTTATGTGCTAACCCAGTCAATGTAAAACCTGCACCGAGTTTGGGATATAAGTAAAATGTTGAGGTCAAACTGCCTTCTGTCTCGTAGTAAAGTATTTGACCATGCAGGTCGATCCGCGTAACACTGTTAATGCCAGTGGTTGCCTTACTCCATACGTTCATTTATAGCAAAGATAAGTTGTATTTTGCCAAAGTATACCGACCCTGCATGGGCTGAGACTCAAACGTATCGAGAAGAATTAATGACTTGCATGTAAATGATGCCATACGTGGTATTATAAACTGAAGCTCAGCACCTTTAAACATAGATCTAACGTCATTATCCTTATCGAAGGCATGAAATAAGTAAGCGCAATGCAATGGTCGCGTATGTTAATTATTGTTAGTAGGCGTATACTTTAGCTTCCAGAGTTTTGTTGGTTCTTTATTGTTAGACATATTTGAAGCATACGCTTTTTAATATCTCCCTTAACTCTCGTTACGTCTGCATGGCTGCCATCATTATTGGTACATACGTTCTTTGTTATGCAGAGTTGCATGTTAGTGGCTACACTTAAAGATTGAAATGACTCTGCCAATTGCGAAGACAACTATGTGCTTTCAGAGAGCACGACAATTAGTATTGTGCCCCAAACCACCAAGGTTCTTAATTTTCACGCCGATCTTCTCTCCGCCTTTCCGCAGCTAGTACAACTGGCTGAATAAGCTGCTATCGGTAAACTGTAGTTGGCTTATCGCATATTTGTGAAATTCCAGCCGATAAGTAGTCGACAGAGTCGTTTGGTACCAAAGAAAATGGGTGTTCTTTGCTCAGTTTTCAAAACATGCGACGTTTTGTTGTCAACGCACGCTTCAATAATCCTGTTTGAATCGAATCGATGAGTGCTGTGAGCAACCAAAGTCCACGAGGGGACTACCCTATATTAAAATGCGTTACCATACGGTATACCATTCTGCACATAGGGAGGCTCACTACTAGCTTAAAAAGTGAACCCTCTTGAGTTATCTTGATCAGGATCACTTTTATAACTAAATATCTGTAACTGTAGTGGAGGTCATCAAAACTACCGTAGCGTTTCAGTCTAGGTTAATAATCGTCATTACACGTTAGTATAGGGTGGGAGACACCCCAGCTAGTGAGCCGCAACTGAAGATATGACAGAATATAGTAAATCAACATAACAAATAGTATGATGCTCAGGACCATAGTATGTTTAACGTGTGAGATCGTGGTTAAAGAAAGAGGCTACTCTGGAGAGGAAGGAAGGAACTCACAACACAAATGCGATTGAGGTCTGTTCTTTGCTATATCAACGACCGTATCCAAACAAGTGCGTTTACCATTTTCGGACACCAACCCGGTAGCAGGGATGTGACAATCAAGGCCAAGTTTAAAGTCAGTGCCACCGTTCTTCTATCCTAAACCTTCGGGTTGTCTTTCTTCTTATCCTTCCTTGCCGCACAAACAACGCACGCAGCAGGTTGGTGTGCTTGCATGCGAAACACTTTCTCAAGCACTATCGCACCAACAATAAGTCCTAAACCGTTGAACCATCACCGTCAACACCAGCCACAAGTCAACAATATTCGCGTTCAGTTGCAAAGGCGCTGAATGACTCAGCAGAGAGTCGATATAAAAAGAATGCTTAGAGTCTGTGCGTTAATGCATCTAGTGTACCTATTAGTTCCATCAGAGCATTTTTTCTATACTTTGACTGCATTTTCTAAGCTACGCTTTAGCTAGCCCAAATGAGTTTACCTAACGAACATCACTCTTATCGTAGCATCTCAAATCACGCATCATATATCCTTTCCATCCAACATCCACGTGGTTCCACCTGAATGTTTTGTGCTCATCCCTTTCCAGTAAATAATTTAGCAGCGGTGTTTCAAGACGCAGCGAGGTATCGCCTAGCAATCGTTCTTCTATTAAAATGTCACGTGTATTTAAAAACTGCAAAGTGGCGGATGTGCCTCGCCAATAACTTAAATCACTGCTTCTTGCTTCATTTTGATTAAGAATTTATTCCAGCAGAGCAATGTTGAAGATGTGTACTAGCTTGGGATTTGACCAAACGAAACGCGTATGAACTAAGTAAGCAATCACCAGTTCGCAGTCAGCAAGATTCCTTGATTTATTTTTGATATTTTGTAGGTACACTATTCAGTCAAACACGCCGGGTGGTGTCCTTTAAGTTAACAATCTACTTCGCTCTGGTAACCGGTTAGTATCTGCCCTCTGAAAGAAACATTAATTTCATTGTTGTGTGTGGTTGCCTTTGTTAGAAAACTGTATCTTCTTTTGAGTACCATGGTTTTCGATTTATCTATACAATTCACAGGCTACCGTAAATACAAATATACAGCGCTAAAAAGCATTCACTTTTAACAGATAAAACTAACTGGGTAAGGCGGGGTTTGGCTACATGTCTGCATGCAGAAGAGTCATCCCTTCAGTCGGCACCCGAGCTGTATGGTAATCGAGAATTCTAAAAAATCTGATGACCGGCATCTGTGCATTCACCAAAGGACTGCCAAAATACTAATTGGCCCCGCGATTGCAGCAGCTCCAAGATGTCGTATCTTACTGAATATTTGAAAAATATGTTTTTCTTGGTGGTCTAAATGTCAGTACCAATCTCGAAACGCAAGCCAAAGAAAACACCGTTTAATCAGCGATCGTTGTCACAATCGGATGAACAAACCGTTTGCTTGTGTCACTCGGACCTTGAAATGCTGTAACATCATTAATTATTTCATATCTGAAATCATTTTTGCCTCACAGTTCATTCACCCATGGTGTGGTAAAGACTGTGTGAGTTGTTGACACGTAAAAAGGCGTTGCCTGATATAGACGACTTTATCAACGGCGAAACCAGATTGGTGTATTTGCTGCCCAGGATAAGCCTATGGCAGTTTTCATGGTACAAATCGTCATATACTGTGGTAGTGTATTACTTCCAGAGACGTTTTGCACTACCAAAGGTTGCAGATTTGAATGTTTAAGAAACCGCTATTGTGGTTCAAGCTCATGCTTTCTTTAACTCCTGGTTGGCGACATCCGGTTTCGGATTTGCCTCTCACTGTGGCCAGCCATAGGATACATGCGCCTACAGAGGGACCATAGATGGCTTTTGCTGTACCACCCGCAGCTCCATCCACACACACCCCATATCCAGGGTAAACCCGAAGAAATAAGACCGGGAGGCACGCGGATGGGAGCCGGCGCACACTCCTTCACAGGCAAACACAAGCACGCTGTATTTGGGGAATCAACCGCACACAAGACGGTGGCTGCACCGTAGTCCGCTCCACACTGACTGCATGGAACCACTCTTCGAGGCTAGCACGGCCACAAGGACCGTGCACCCCGTCCCCTCCAGCAACGACCAACTGTTTCCTTGAGCCAGGTGGACGAGCTACAGCTACACCTGGGATGTCAAACAACGGCCGATCATTCGAAATGCCGATATCTAATAAAGTAAACGCATTTGACGACATAAATCTGGCTAAATGAGCATATGGAAGAAATTGGTTAAATGTGAATACGCGATAAGTACAAAACGTCCGAAAGTTATTTTAGAATATACCACGCGGTAAAATTACGCAAGTTTACTACAATTTGCATGAGCCACGTGCGTAAGTTTGGAAAAGATTATCAAGTACGCAGAACAAGAAAAACTAAAATGTAATGAATTTTATCCACATTAAAAAGACCTAATTTAAGTGTAAGTTGATTTAGCCCAACTGCGGTGAAGAATCATCATGAATGCGACATCAGCCTCAGCATGGGGCACGCTTCAACTCATGCAGCCGTTAATACACACTTAGACGAAATGTGTGTAGGTCTGTCTCCTCCTGCGCAAATCAGATGAGGTTGTTTAGCATCAAAATCTTAACGATGACTTAACTATGTACAGATCACCATGCTATCTTGAGATTGGTGCCCTAGGTGGCGCCGTCTGAGCTGTCGTTAACACAGTGCAACTGCTGTAACCAGCTCAAAGCACATTTGCATTGGAACTAGTCGTTATCTAACCACAGTTGGTCGACTCAAATGCAAATTTAGGTAGGAATTCTACACAACGTGCGCAGCCCACTTGCCACTAAAATTCGACCGCAGTTTTTACTTTGACAACAACGACACGGCAATCTAGGTAGATTGTTTTTGTTTAGTCAATCGCAAGTATTCGGAATGTTCGAGATATCACAAACCGTGGGGAAAATACTCTCCAGGGTATCAGCTTCATCGTTAATTTTACCTGCTTGTTAAATATGCCACCAGAGCATCCACTAAATGCGATTAAACGCCTTCTGTGCTGCCCTGTGGCCGAAACAGCAAGACGTCTGCCTTGCAACCCGGATGTCACGAGTTGGAGTCTTCGTAGGGGACCAAGAAACCCTCGCAGTATCCTTAACCCACGTGTAACTTGTGGTGGTTGCTTGTTAGCGGATCGCCGGTATGGCCTGTCGGCGTAATGTTAATGCTTTCTTGCGCCAAATATAATCATAATAATAACAAACAGTTATAAATCGCCAGCTGTGCGCCGTAAGGGCGCTTCGCTGTCACGCGACAATCACCAGTCGCTCGTGGGCTGTGCATACCGCGAGGACGCCAGCCCCTACGCAAATTCGAAACGGTGACCTTATGGTTGCAAACCAGATGTGCATACCATACGGCCACCGGCCGACTGTACCAAATATAGGTGAGTTTGCCGTGAGAATACAGGTTCTATTTCAACCAGTGTGAGTCATATTACTCAGCACATTTTCTAGATCTATACTCCTGCTTGCTTCCTTCTGAAAAAAAAGTTCATAGGAACCCGAACTACAAGCGGTACCTTTAAAAGAAAATTGCGGACACGTTTGATAAAATTCCCGACATGCAGTTTCAAAACGGTACTAAATCGAAACATTACTTACATATGAGAATTTGGTTATGTAGATTCTAGACTCACGTTTACATAAATGTAGCAATTCGGCTTTGAACTGAGAGTACATAGAATTTTCAACTGCTCGGTTATCGATTTATATTTCTGACTATTAGTTGGGTAGTCATCCAGGACATATCCCGATCTCCGACATTCATCAGAATCCAGCTTATCAAAAATTATTCTCAGCACATCAGAATCTTGAAGATCATTTCCATTTTGCATAGTTTCTGACAAGTAACTTCCAGTCAACATGCCACTCGAAATGTGACGTTGTAGTAAGTTGGACGCTAAATTAAATATCAACAGATAAAGCAGAGGTTTACCATTTACATACTCACAGCCCCAAATGCTACACAACCTTCGCGCTAGCTCTGACTTTCCTGAGGATGGCATACCCAAAATAACGAACCTCGGAGTGCAATGAGGCTTCTGTAATTCAAGTCACAGAGCCATAAACCAACTTAACATACTTCAGGAAAAACATTTGGTGGCGCTTGAATATGCTCATCTGTTCCAGATAACTCGTTAGTTCTTCTGTGAACCCGGATTAATTCAGTAAATTGCTTGTCCTTATCGCTCATATTAAAAGCAGTATCATCGGATATATCCGAATAAACAGGAAAGGATGGTAAAACAGAACGCAAATGTTATGAGACAGGCTGTCCGGCGCTTTCTATAGCACATTAAACACAGTCAAATGGGTATTCTGGCATAAAATGGTATCTAAACGACAGTAATGAAGAAACTTCTTGGGCAAGAAGAAGTTTATCATTTATGCGATAACGTACGGTGAAGGTACATGCAGCTGCACAGGTTTAATCCGGCACCACGCTTAGGAACGAAACATGGGGGCGTCAGATTCGCGGGTGTAACATGCCAGGAATACAGACGAAGTTGATGGTGAGTAAGAACGTGTTGAAATTAACACATACAACCTGACGTATATTCTGCTAATAATAATTCTGAATACATACTTAAAGCTAGGGTTAGGATTAAAATTGCGCTTCAACATTATTCGTACTACAGTTATTTTCGGCATTATATCTACCGCTACAAGAAATTCGGCTGCACGAAATATAAACTTAAAACGGTTTAATACTGCATATTTCTTTACGGCATCAAAGAATAATAACGAATGCAAAGAAGCTTTGTGGTATTCACTAGTAAACGTGGAACCTAACTGCTAAATTTTAAGTTCCCACCATATGCGAAGGTGACGGTCTCATGAGACGTAGTGACTTAATTTGTGACGTTGGGTTATATATTACCAACGAGTTCATTGGAATAGATAATTTAAACCATGTCCATTTTTACTAGGGATAGCATAACCTAAGACTCATATTCTCTGATTTGTATCTTTTATATTAATTTTTAAACACTGCATTCTGGCTGTGAAAGCCTTCTTTTTTAGGTTGTAGCACTCAGCGTTCTTTCAAGTTAGACCGGAGCAGTAGGATGATCCCGTGAATGTTCCACCCGCGAAAGCCTCGTTTATCCAGCAGTGTACGCGGTGGATTAAGCTGCCGAAGGAGAGCCACTTCAACACACAAGATTCACATGGTCAACCAACCAATGCCCACCTGCCCCGTACAAGCAGGCCGCAGAGTAGACCACGTGAATAAAATAAAAGTAAATACTGGAAGAACAGGCTTGCCAAAGTTTATAAGTAATACTAAGAAGCAAATAAAGGCAACGAGGGAAAACTAAGACGTAATAGGCTAATAAAGGCGTTAGGCATGACTGAAATATCTTAAACGCAAAGCGAAGACATCAATCCAATGATTAAACGGTTGAACCGTCTCTGCAACTACGACTTCGTCAGGAAGCGCCTTCTAATAACCTAGGACGCAAAGCACTAACCGAAAAACTTCCCCTACCCGGATTGATCATGCTTTTTCCAACTTCAATTGGTGGACAGCAAGGGCTTGCGCCGGAGTTTGGTGGAACAGTCCGGATATACCAGGAGCAATCTGACGCGCTTTTGTGCGACAAGTGGGAACAACTTACCATGAAGTCGCTTTTCTTATATGGAAAACAGCCAACCTAAGTAGCCTCTCAGGGTACTTCAGCTTCTTTAACCCACGCACCGTTTTCGTCCCACACCGCAAGGCCCATTCAATCGCCATCCTGCCACGATGTAGGCGTAATGACAGATATGAATCCGTCAGGATTAAAGAATTCACTCGACGCAGCACCGTAGCCACTTATGTAGTGACGTTAATTTCTACTTTTCTACGGTATAGTTTAGGAAACTCCTGAAATGGTGTCCAGCTCAACGTTTGGCCGCTACTATCTCACTTGGCATTATGGTTAGCTAGCCAAACCCCTTTCAACTAGGGGCCAGCTGTGTGGTTCGGGTTAATCCCGTTTTAGCGAATAGTTCGGCGGAACTGTACCATAGCCTGTTTAGTTTTACGCTTGGCAAGCGCTTTCCCTATAAAAATCCACAAGGCTCCGCTTAACAACACCGCGACGTGACGAAGATAATTAGCCACAAAATAAACTCATTGCTTCTTTCCTTTCCGGTCTGTTCTCCCACTTAGGAACTTCATTCAATTAGTAAAGTTCCTTTGAACAGTTCACACGACAGCAAGCGCAACCAACTCCATAACGGATCCCGTCACATTAACAAATTCCCTCATCATGTCCCCTTACAAATGGTTGGAATATTTAGTTTCGGATTTGCCTCTCACTGTGGCTGACCAAAATGGGCTTGCGTTTATAGATGGACCATGGGTGGCTTGCGCTGCCCCAACCCCACTTCCATCCACCACCCCCATAGCCAACCTAAACCCGAAGGAGAATGATCGGGAGGCATGCGGATGGGAGCCACGTTTCATCAATGGAGCCGGCCCACACTTCTTCACAGACAAACACAAGCGCGCCGTATTTGGGGAATCAAGGGCACAAAAGGCTGCGGCTTGACCGTAGTCAGCTCCAAACTGAGTGCTTAGAACCATTCTTTGAGCCTAGCACTTCCACGAGGACCGTACACCCGTCCCCTTCAACTACGACCAGCGGTCACCTGGAGTCAGCATGGACGAAGTGGTGGGTAACAGACAGGTAGGCACCTTGGTAAATTGCAAATCAAGCCCAGATACAACAGGGAGTTCAAACAACAGCCGATCAGTAAGGCAACAAAATATATCCGTTAAAGCCTACGGCTATGCCGACATGGCTCTTCGTTAAATTATCATATGAAATAAGTTGGTTAGCAACAAACCGAAACAGGCATATATATATATATATATATATATATATATATATATACATATATATATGATACGGTGAACCGCGCGGCACTGTGGCTGGTTTTGGGTAAGTTTGGTTGCCCGCGTAAGTTTGTAAGTTTAATTGAATGTCTGCACAGTGGTATGCGAGCGCGGATGCAGCTGAGTGGAGAGACCTCTGATGACTTTGCAGTTGTCTCTGGTGTGAAGCAAGGCTGTTTAACATATGGCTTCATGAAATGTTGTCCTGTGCTTTTGATGCCGCTTGTGCTTACGGTGTTCGTGTGGAGCACCGTATTGATGGTGGGTTGCTGAACATCCGTCGTTTCGGTGCGAGAACTCTAGTCTGTGAGACAACTATCCGTATGTTGCTGTTTGCTGACGACTGTGCGTTGTTTTCACACAGCGCGGATGAGTTGCAACATATGATTAATGCCCTGGCTTCGACAGCGGCCAACTTCGGGTTAACCATCAACACAAGCAAAACTGTCTGTCTCTTTCAGCCTTCATCGGAGGTGCAATCTTCAATATTGCCGCGAATCAGCATTGGTGCTGAAGTTTTGGAAACCACTTCCCGCTTCTGCTACCTTGGGGGTGTGATGTCGACTGATCAGCAGCTACACAGTGAGCTCCGTATCCGCGTGTCGTAGGCAGTGCCGGCATTCGGGAAGCTTGAGTACCGAGTGTGGAACAACCATCAGCTTACCATTGGCACGAAGCTGATGGTGTACAAATCCATGGTGCTGTCCGTTCTTCTATACGGCAGTGAAACGTGGACGATGTACCGTCGGGATATGCGATATCTCGAGCGGTTTCATCAGCAGTGTCTGCGACGGATATTGCTCATCGGCTGTGGCGACAGAGTTGCGGACACGGAAGTGTTGCGCCGAAGTGGGATATATGCAATGGACTGCATTATTTTGCTGAGACACCTGAGGTGGATCGGTCATGTGAGCCGTATGGATTCAACGCGGATACCGAAGCAACTCTTATATGGTCAGCGGAGTATTTGGAAGCGGCACGTATGGAAACCAAAATAACCTTACCAGGACATGATTAAAGTGAGTCTCTCACGTTCTAATCTTGGTTCCAGATCATGAGAATCGAAGGCGGTTGATCGGTGTGCCTGGCGCTATTAGATCACGAAGGTAGTTGTGGAGGTGCATTAGAAAGCCCTCATGCGTGCAGAGAAGGAGCGGCAAGTGCGGAAGCGGCAAGCGCCGATGGGTTGTTCTCCACCGACATCAAGCGCATGGTGCTGTAGCACATGCGGTCGCGAGTGCCTGAGTCAGGCAGGCTTAGTGAGCCATGAGCAGGACCACTACCGAAGCGACGACGGGTCTTGCGGAGAACGTAGGCAGAACGGGCGCAGCGTTTGTAGGTACGCTGCATTCGATTTACTAAGCGCGTGCTTGCATGCTAGGTCTATTTATTTCAGGTGGTGGGTTTTTAATTTTGTCCTAAGGTTTTGCTTTTCTAATTAAATGGCCACATTCTCGCTCTTCTATAAACCAGCACAACTCGCTTAAGCCAATTCTAGTTAATTTCAATAACATTTCGGGTTTGTGTCATTTCCGTAAGATATACCTTCTGACCCCCTGAAATAATCTTGGATCTTTGTAAACTACTTACTTCATATGCTCGTTAATTTAAGATTTATGTTTCCGTTTCCTCATGCCTTACTCAATTTCTTTTCTTTGTTATCTTTCCCTCAAGTGATTGACTATTTCTTGATATCTCCGGTGTGGCTGAGTTTGAAGTGCACGTTGCCAAGCTGCCTGCCTGTCTAGTACTTACTACCTCGTCCATACTGGCTCCAGCAGACTGTTGGTCGTTGCTGGAGGGGACGGGGAGCATGGTTCTTGTGGCCGTTGTTAGGGTCAAACAGTGGTTCCATGCACTTAGTGTGGAGCGGACTACGGTCCGGCCACCGTCTTGTGTGCAGATGATTCCCCAGATACAGCGTGCTTGTATTTGCCTGTGAAGGAGCGTGGGCCGTCTCCGTGGATGAAACGCGGCCCGCATCCACATGCAACCCGGTTTTATTCCTTCGGGTTTACACTGGATATCTAGTGTGTGGATGGAGCTGTGGTTGGTGCAGCGCAAGCCACACATTGTCCCTCTGTAAGCGCAGGCGTCCTGTGGCTGGCCACAGCGAGAGACAAACCTGAAACCGTAATCATATAATTTAATATTTTTCAATAAGTCGGATGTGTTTGCTTATCAGGGATTCACTTATATCCAATTTCTTCTATATGCTCATTTGGCGAGTATTTATGTCATCATATGCTTTTACATTTTTCGATATCAGCATTTTGAGTGATCTGCTCTTGTTTGCCATCCCAGGTTTGGCTGAGCTTGATGTGCATTTTGACAAGCTGTCTACCTGTCTTTACCCACTACCTCGTCCAACTGGTTCAAGGAGACAGTTGGTCGATGCTGGAGGGGACGGGGTGCACGGTCCTTGTGGTCGAGCTAGACTCGAAGAGTGGTTCCATGCACTCAGTGTGGAGCGGACTACGGTGCAGCCACCGCCTTGTGTGCGGTTGATTCCCCAAATACAGCGTGCTTGTGTTTGCCTGTGAAGGAGTGTGCGCCGGCTCCGTTGATGAAACGTGGCTCCCATCCGCATGCCTCCCGGTCTTATTCCTTCGGGTTTACACTGGATATGGGGTGTGTGGATGGAGCTGCGAGTG